CAGAATATATACAGATATAGCCGCGGAAAGCTTTTACTTTTCGTGATATTAACGGTTAAAGTTAAAAATTTAAACTATTTAAAGTACGTATTTAATCAATTTAAGATGAATTATACACTTATATTATTCACGGTAAATGTATAGCTAAGGTCCCCAACTAAGGAGGCCTCAAAAATAAATTTTTTTTTTTGGTAAATCGTCTTATTTTTACGCGAAAATTACAAATCCGCGAGCGGAAAGTGATAGTAATGAAAAAAAAATTGAAGTGAACTTTTTCTATAATTTATTTATTTAATTACAAATATATTTAACGCGCTTTGCACATAATTTTCAAGTCACTTAGTTGTTGTTGCGATAAAAGGGGCGGCTTTAGTTTAGCATCCCACAATTTCAAGGTTAATATAAATATATATATATATAATAAATATGGCAACACTTATTATCTGACAACATGGAACCCATTTGTTATTGTTCATATAACGAAAATTGTGTTGCTTAGTTAAAGCATATATTTAAATATTTAATATAAAATAAATATGTAGAAACATTGTAGTGAAGTGTTAGTGTATAATAAGTGCATAATATAAAAGAAAAGTAAACCATAAATCGAGAAATTGTAAAATAAAATTTGTGAAATTCTCAACTTAAAATGCAAACATCTCGAAAACTATAAGTTTCCGGCGGCAATAATTATATATATTCGTGATCAGGAGAATCTCTTCTATCTAACCATACCCCTCTTAGGCCTGAAATCGTGGAATGCTAAACTAAAGTTTTCACCGGAAAAATCTGCAGAATTCAGATCGCTTAGCTGTAATTACCAGTTCAGAGAGTTTAACATTTTCTTGTGAAAAAAATACTGCAGAAATGTAATATTCACAATTTCTGTTGCGCCGCGATATGATGATATGAACGAATATCGGAGATTGTCGAACTCCTTTCCTCGCTGGCGGCATTCGGCCGCGCTTCAAAATAATAACCCTGGTCGGTCCAAAACCGGGGTGTTCATAATGTAATCGCGTCAAATCCTTTCTGAACTGGAGGCCTTCGGCCTAGATTTTAAAAAGTAACCCTGGTCGGTCCAAAACTAGCGGAAAAAAATAAAAGAATTTAAATGTATCACAATTTTTTATTAATACGCTTGTATTAGATTGGGTTGTATGTATGTAATGGAATCTTATAGCTCAATTTTCGCCGGTTTCCAGAAGTCTGATCAACCGACCGATGACAATTCAATAATTTGGTAACAGTTTTCCATTGTTTTAAAGGTGGGCGTAATCCCGACCCTAAATAGTTTAATGTATATATCTTCCAAACCGCCAAAGCTAACTCAACCAAATTTGCTGAGAGGAAGTCCTTTTAGCCCTTTTTCGTACGCTGTGATGGGCAAAATCAGAGTATAACCACGTCCACTCCCCATATAACAGTTATGTTAAAATAAACTAAAAGGGCGATAACTGACGAAATAAATGCGCCATAAGCTTTAATGTTCATAAACAAGATGGTAGGGAAGAGCTTAAAAGGAGGAGGTTTAAAAATTCCTTTAAAGCGTGTTTTTTTAGTTTTTAAACCAATTTATTGTTTTTAAAGCATATTTATCAAAAAAAAATCACTCCGTTTACGGATTTGTAATATTCGCGTCAACATAAGACGATTAAAAAAAAATCATTTTTGAGGTCTCTCTACTTGGGCGACCTAGACTATACATTTACCGCCAACGCAAAAAGAAGTTCTTCGCAAAAAACACCTTGGTACACCCCGGTGCGGAACCGACCATGGTTATTTTTTTGAAGCGCGATCGAAGGGCGCCAACGCAAAAAGCAGTTCTACCCAAAAAAGTAACATTGTAATAGAGGGTATAACATAATCCTTAACATCAATCTCTTATAAGTTTCCCGCGGCTATATCTGTATATATTCTTGATCTGGAGGACCTCTTCTATCCACCCATACCCATTTTATCCCCGACGGTATTCTTAAGTCTTCGCAATATTAATAAAAGAAACGGGAAAACTTATATGGCATCCCCTGATATCGGGAATAAAATGGGTATGAGCGGATAAAGGATGTTCCGCAGATCAAGAGTTTATATATATAGCCGCATGAGACTTACAGTTTTCGAGATATTCGCTTTTAAAGTCCAAAAATTCATAAATTAAAGTATGCAATTTTTCTATGTTTTAAGAATTTTTACTTATATTATTCAATATTATTTCCAATAACATATCACTAAATAGTGTATACACATTTGTTTTATCATAAAGAGTGCACAAAAAACTTTTAATCGTAATAACAGCATTCTTAAATATGACTGATTTATACATAAACAAAATGGTTGCATGTAAACACATAATAAGTGTTACCATACCGTTATTATGCTAGCGAACAAAAATTAACAAAATGAGAAAGATTAAACAGCAAATGCTTAGAAATTACTATCATTAAAACTTTACTTTTTAAATTTAAAGTTTTTATGAATTATAAACAATTGCATCCTCATGTTAAGTAGCAATACTTTTTCGCCATTCGTACTCCACTATTATGTCTGCAAAATATTCCGGGTTTTAATGATTATCTTTATGATCCTTTGGGTAACATATGTGTATCATCGTCTGCCACAAAGGCGTTGTCTGAATCGCTATGGATCACTCGGCGATGCTCATACCCGTAACTGGACAATACGATTGAATCAGAGAACTTAAAACAACGAGAAGGTGCAAATTGAATTTTGTATGATGCTCGATTGGTCGGCTGAAAAATTGAGATCAAGGAGTTCACCATTTTCTGTAGTATTTGCTGTTATTTAACAGAAATGAGAATTTCTAACAACGTTCTCTGATAAATTACGTATCTCCCAATATAAAGAGAAAAATGAAATGAAATGAATGAGAAAACAAAAAATACAAATGCCACTTCACATATGCAAGATTATTTTTTGCCATATAAACGATTTTTATGATGAAAAATTGATAAAATATGATTTTTTTGCACAAATGTTACATTGATAAAATGTGAAAGATTATGGAAAAAATGATATTTTACTATTTTCATAATTTTCTAATTACAGTTGTCACAGAATTAATAACCTATGTATGTACATATGTACATCAATATGTTATATAATATAATATAATAATATATTATCACTTATCAATAAATACATCCGCGCGCACTGCTCTATATGTAAGTATGTATGTACAAATATGCGTATGACATTGCAAAATAAGTAATGCATACGCAAATCTACATACATTTAAGCTTAAGTATGTACGTCAGCCAATAGGCAAAATACCAACATTGTTGTACAAAAACAACAATTGTCTCAATTAGCATCAGCACCAGAAATCAATATGGCAGCCAAATTGACAAATCCTAAATTTGTAGTAAATCACACACCAACAACATTTTCATTCATGAACGCTGGCGCTCAAGCAATAAGCTAAGTCGTTTCATTCATAAAAGCAAACGCCTTACACATTTATTTATTTATTTATTTAAACGCCAATCGGAAATATACATCGATATAATAAAGAATTAAAGTATTATACAAAAGTAGCTAGGGTATATTAGTGTAATATCTGGAAAATATTTAAATAATTGTAAGTTAATATGTAATTCAGACTTGATTTAGATGTAATTCAGACGAGCAGGTGTCTCTTGGTGTTTTCGGTAAAAGCAGCGTATGTTGCTCCATAGAAATCAATTTCACCTTGAAGTGAATGTACTAAATTAGCCAGTCTATTCTGAGGACCATGGATAACATAATTTTTCTTGGATTTCGATGTTTTTAGTAATCTATTTCGCCTCAGGGTATGACCAGCAGGGCGAGTTCAAAACTGTTTGGGATCTCATGAGCATCAGTGATGTTATTGACTACTTTGTAGAAAAAGCAGAGGTCAGCGACCTGTCGACGAGAAGACAGTTTGTTTATACAGTAGCACTGGTAGACCTCATCAGTAGAGCAGATGTGACTTGGTGAAGATAGTTTATAGGCCAGTGACTTACAGAATTTACGCTGCACCTTTTCAACTTTATCGATTGTCGTGTTAGTGTAGGGAGACCAGATTACCGAACCATATTCCAAAATTGGTAGTACAAGTGACTTGAATAGTCTAATGAGTGTCCAAGGTAATGTCTTTACGGTAAATACTATATGTTGAATCAATGACTTCACCATCACATATGGATGAGTGAAGCCAGGATTCCTAAATACATACAACGTCGTACTGGTTAGCCGCTAATGCGGTTTGAAATGTTGAGAGTTTTTTACGCAGACCTCTGACGTTCTGGTAGCACAGGTGGACGTAAGATACTTTCTTCTTGCTCGTTGAGCGGACGAAAATTTCTTTTAACGATTCTTGGGACACCATGGATATATTTAATTGTGTTACTGTCATCACCACTATTCACGATTGAATCAAGCTCTTGACGCAAATTTTTCAGATGAAGTTGTTGAAGGGGATTAGATCAGTCTTGAAAATAAAACCTGAGTTTTCGTCTGTTGGTCTGTATTTGATAATGGAAAGTGCATCGGCTGCTGAGCGGGTGGTAATGTGAAGAGGACGTGTACGTCCAGGTGTAGGACGACCCAGTCTACGTAACTTGAGTTCAGTGGCCTCATCCTTGAGACTGGGAGGCAAAGCTGTGACTAACTTTGTGTCCCCGAGCATGCGCTTGCCAACAAGCGTCTTTTCACGATGATGCCAAAAGCTAGAAATCATAAATTGAACAACTATTTTATGTTCCCTCTAGAAGGGAAAAGTGGCAACCCTGCAAACACAGAAAAAAATG